ATTCCAACCTACAGAAACCGAATACTCCAGCCCTTTCACTTGCGAAGAAGTCACTATAGCTCTCAAGGATGTAAAGCTAGGTAAAACTCCAGATTTTGATAATATTCACACCGAATTCTTAATTAACATCTACAAATATTCGAGATAATGGATGGACCACTTTTTTTATAGACATTATGAAGACCGGTACCATATTACAGGAACTCAAACGCTCGAATGTGGTTACCGTATTAAAACCCTAAGAACTACTGACTAATAGCCCTACTATTGGCGACGTCCAAGCTACTAGAACGACATCTACAACAGAATTAGTCCAAAGTCCAACGACCGCCAATTTAAACAGTACAGACTGCTGTGGAAAATGAGTTCAACTTAGGCCCGCCGCAAATTGAGCACAGCCCACGCACATCCTACGCGTGGGTTATTTTGTAAAACGTGGTTTTAGATGGAGCGACGCATATTAAACCCAAACCACGGCCAGGCTACTGCCAGACTTGGTTGGCGTGGATAGAGTTGTGCTAGCAACACAGTTTCGTGGGTCGTGGGCGTGGGTCTCTACTTAACCTTAGTTATTTTGTTTTGTGTGACCAATTTTTTGTTATTCAGTGAAAATGGAAAAGTTTATTGAAATTGTTCGAAGCTTTAGTGTCTTGTATGATACTAGTAATGAAGATTACATGAGAACAAAACTAATATTTTCTTTATTTGTGCTAAGCAACTCGGATGTAAGTCGCCGTTATAATTATTCAAAAAATAATAATTTAAATTAATTTTTTATTAAATCAAATGAGAAATATAACAAATCGAGCACTAAGGAAAAAAAAAACAAATTTTCATTTCCTAGCAAAATGTTTATGAACATGTAAGATGAAAACTTCAAAATAAAATTTGATGGTACTTTTTCGTGATGCTCATATTGTAATGGCTTTTATACACTGAAATTAAATTAAAAAAGAAGATGAAGAAAGTAGAAAAATAATAAACAATTCTCAAATTTAAATTTATCCCAAAAAAAATACGATCTGGAATTTTTGTATTCTTTTAGCTCTTCTGTTGTTTATTACGTTATTTCACTTATTTCAACAATACTCTGTAAAATCTGCCTGGTATGCTAATTAGTAATTAGAAAGTCAATATCGGCAAAACCATCTTATTCAAATTATGGGTATCTACCTGTTATAGTCTTTTGTTGAAGGATTTCAATTTTTTACCCTTAGCATTTGTGAAAGTTTTAAAGATATTTATATTTTCAGATTAGAAATTGTTAGTGGGATATTAGGTAAAAATTAAAAGGTCTTTAGAAAATAAAATCTTTATTTAAACTAATATACTGAAGACAGTCTATCTTTTCGTTGAATGGTATTTGCGAAAACAATCTCTTATGCATAGTCCAGCTTTTTCGTCACAATCAGCACACTCGTAAATTGTATTTTTCCTAATTTTATGGATAGAACATATTCTACACAAATATTTGACATGGGCGTGGGCTGTGTTCAATATACCTTAGCATTGAAAAACGTGTACTTGGACTAGGTTGGACCATACGTGGGCTGCGTGTGGGATGTGCGTGGGCTGTGCTCAATTTGCGCCGGGCCTTAACGACCACTTGGACTCAAGAATAGATGGAACAACAAAAGAATCAGAACCTAACAGGACAGATGCGGTTACATGATGCACAAATGGGGTAAATGGCCATCCCCACTCTTTGATTGGACTCTGATTGACGTTTGCAATTTTATGACTGCAACTTTGCAACTTTTTACCCAACAACTGATGATAACCGAAATTTGCATTACAGTATCTATTTTTTGAACGAGTTATGTTGAATGGCGAAGCGAACAATCATAACTGTCGCTATTGCAGCAATACCAATTCACTTTGGCTTAAGGAGACCTATGCCCATCACCCACAAAAACTCAATGCACGGGACGGAATTTTGGAAAACTACATTGTTGCACCAAAACACTTATTTTACCAAGGTTTAATGAGGTACAAATTTTGATTAGGACACCGTGTATGTACGACACTATTGCATAAACGAAACCTTTATAATACTTTGGTTTCAATAGAATACAGAACTATTTTCAATACATCTCATATTAGCATAAGCCATGCATACGTTTTATGACGTTTCTTTCTGAATTTTCCCGCATCTTTTAGCGAAGCACGCCCTAAATATAGTGTAATCGTCTATGGAAACATCCGCGATGCAAAGGGGAAATGGAAATAACTTTTCCTGAACATCACATATCCGAGCAAACGATGAATAATATCCAGCATTCCGTACATAAAGCAGAATATATTTGTAAATATTTTTAGTTTCAATGTGAAACGTCGAAATTACAAGTAAAATGTTTTAGAAAGAATAGACCATATAAAACAATGTGACAATGACGAATGATGTCTGCAGAACATATAGATCACTTTTATTATATATACAAAAGTATTAAGAAACGACGTTGACAATATAGCTCAAATTTTTATAGTCAGATTTAACCCTTAACTACCATGGCCAAAAATAGTAACATTTGTACCATTGCAGGGTCAAATTTGACCCCCATTGTTTTTTGTATTAAAAAATATTCTTTTTTTAACTTGTTTTATTTTAAATTATTTTGTTTACAGCTACTTTTACATTTATATAAAAATAAACGGATTTGGTTAATTATATATAACTTTATTTAAAAAAAACTTTTGTATTCAGTCAAATTAACATAGCTATGCATTTTCTCGATTTATAAGAAAAATAATTTCAATGTGCAGTTTTTTTATATCCAATGGTGAAATATAGGTATCATAGCTCCTACCTAAAATAAAAAAAAATCGATTTAGATTTCGTATCTCAAAAATGACAAGCATGATTTTACCTTAATTTTCAACACTTTATTTTTGCTTTATTTTTGCTTTATTTTTGCAAATAAAATCTCGACATTTATCGCACGATGAGCTTTCTTTCTTTTGGTTTTTGGAATATGGACATATTTTACACCTTCTCCTCTTTTTTCGTCGTTGTGGCTCTGGATTTGCGGCAGGCATTGGTTCCTGAAGTCCGGAAACTTTAAAAATGGCACTACGAATTTCTCTCGGTAAACAAGTTTGCTGAGCTCTACGAGTTAAATGGGTCTTAATAAGTTATTGACCTAAAGTGGTTAGAAACAATCTTCTTTCCATTATTTGATTTTGCTGAACTCCATTAAAAATGACGTTAGCATTTAATCCTGCAATGTCCAAAATGCGACACCATATTACTTGAGGCCATCTACGAGTTCTTCTGCCAGTTTTATAGCATGCACATTTCTTATCCAATGAATCCACCCCACCTTTTGTCTCGTTGTAAAAATTTATAATCTCTGGCTTTCCATTAACCATTGTATTGGAATGATGCATAGTTAACACTAACAACACTGCACGATTTTTCTTAAAAACAAAACATACAAGGCTCTCGCTTCCTGTAAAACCAAATAAGGCAGAATTAGGTGGCCTGTTTTTTTGGGGTTGAAATTCAGCAGGAGCCTCTCTTTTATTTCTTTTTAGAGTTCCAACATATGAAATTTTATGGCTTCTCAGTTCTTTTATGAGCTCAATGGACGAAAACCAATTATCTGCTGTTATGTTTCTATTTGTACCAGAAATTTGTGGAATAAGTGTCAAAACATCTAGAGTGGGGATAGATAACTTTTTTGGATTTGCTCTGCGTGTATCTTTTCCAGTATATATAAAACCATTTAGCAAATAATGTGTCTTAGAGTCTACTAAACACTGCATTTTCAGACCGTATTTGTCTGGCTTATTTTTGAGATACATCCTGAATTGGCACCTTCCTCTAAATGCAATAAGCATTTCATCTATTGTGAGATATTCACCACAGCTATAATTGGACTGGCAATTAATTATAAACATATTAAAAATATTGGATATAGCTGCCAGTGTATCTCCATGCGCTCTTGTCTAGTAGCTGGGTCGTCAAAACAAAGGCTTCCAAACAAAAAATAAAATCGGTTTAGTGACATGGTTGCTCGAAATATATCACGGCCAGTACCATTCGTAGCAAATAAAGATCTTAAATCTCCGTTATTGGTTTTAAATACCCCAGCTAAATATAATAAGCCTAAGAAGGCCTTTAATTCAATTATGTCAAGATGATTGGTATATTGACACGATAAATTGTGTAAATTATATTTAGAAGCCATATTAGTTATTCGTTCATTGGTTTTCTCAAGAATTTCTTGCAATATATCGTGGCTAATAATACATTCCCAAGCATCAACTGGTTTCTCTGGCATACTAGCTCGAGCTTTTCCAATAACACCAGACAAATGACTAATTAAATCATGCTTACGTGTACGAGAAAAGGTGGGAGAAGTTTTAGACCACTTGTACCTATTTTTGCCATAAAACACATCCCTTGAGTCAGCTATATCACTTTCTTCATCCGAATATTCACTACCAGTTTCAGAATTATTAATTTGCCAATTTTTTTCGTCATCATCGTCCCATTCCTCTTCACTGTCTGTTTCGTGATCACTGTGTTCACTAGCCTGGTCTAAAAACTCACTGTCACTATCTAGTCCATTGTCCATAATTTTTTGTCCCTCCTCTTCAAGTTCTTTCTGTGTCAGAGGACGTTTATTGCGACTATACCCCGCCATTTCAAATTACCCGTTAATTGCACTAGAAACACTTATACTATAAGCGGGTCAAAATTGACCCTATGCGTGCCTAACTCTGCAGTAGTAACAGATAAACTAACGGAATTTTCGTAGATCGATAAATCACCTACCGGTCGAAGATTAGCAGAAAGCTCGCAATACTCAATCTATGTTTCGGTAGCGAAACTTGGCATTAAAAACGCGGGGGGTCAATTTTGACCGCGCCATGGTACTTAAGGGTTAAGGTTAATATTCTCTATATGTTTATTATGTAATGTAATCTTAATTATTTTGATAACTACGCCTATAGACCTGAATTTTAAGTATTAATCTATATTTCGTTTGTTTCAGTGGCGTTTCCTTGAGTTGCCTGGTGTCAGTAGATGCCGATGGCGGCTACTACACGGCCATGCCGCCCGCTGCCATGAGGCTGCAGGAGGACAATCCACCGCCGGTGTCAGCGGCCCCTACTAACCACTTAATAGCTAATTTAGAGACAAATAATAATCGTGCAACTGGCTCCGAGCTGGAGCTGCTCGCGAAACTGGAAGAAGCCAATAGGCTCTACGAATCCGACGCCAAATCGCTCAATTCGTTGAGCGGGGCGTCGGCGACGTCGGGACATTCGAGGAAGAGCTCAGACACGTCGCAGATATCACTCACTTCAGGTAAGTTACTAATTATGGATTTTTAAAGAATTTTTGTAAAGTAATTGGAATGTCTTAATTGAGATCAAGAGTTTACTAATTCTAGAAACACAGTTCATGATAGTACCGTCTTTATGGCAGCATATTACAACGGTCTTTGTAGAGGACTGTTCAAAGCAGAACAATTATAAATATCGTTACCTTCTTATCTTGAAAAAATAATATAACCACAACGACCACAATTTTGACACCATAGAGCAAGGTGGAGAAAACATAGCACTTAAGTATTCTAGTTCTCAATGAGATGCCCAGCTGGCGGTTGCATAGAACTTTTTGCATTTTGTAAAACATTGTACGTGCCTTTTCCAGACGTATTCTTATCTCTAGTGAGTGGTCCCAAGTTTCATCAAGATTACTTCCAAGGTGCGTTGTTCTTGTTACTCTTTCCCGTCTCCCGTTTCCCGTGTTCCGTCGACATTGACCTTCACCCTTCTGAGAGGTTTGAAATGATCCTTAAGTCTTTATCGTCGATATTACATGACCTTAAAATATCTATTAGTTTATCATGTTTCACCAGGTCAAACGCCTTCTGAAAGTCTATAAAACACAAGTATACATCAGAATCGACATCTCTACATCTTTCAACTAGCACACGTATTGAAAAAAGTGCTTCTCTTGTTCTGAACCCATTCTTAAAACCAAACTGAGTTTGACCAGTGTGTTCGTCTAGTTTATTGTATACCCTATTGTGTATTACTCGTAGGAAAAGCTTCAACATATGACTCATCAGGCTAATAATCCTATGGTCTTCACATTTCTTGGAGTTTCTCTTCTTTGGTAGTGGTACAAACACCCATGTCAGCCAATCATTTGGTATTATGCCTGTTTCGTATATTTTGTTAAATATATCTTCCATTACTTCGATGTGTTCGTCTAGTAATATCTTTATTATTTCAATTTTGATATTATCTTCCCCAACAGCTTTTCCGTTCTTTAACTGATTTGCCGCTTTGATAATTGCTTGCTTTGTGATATAAGGTCCAGTCGATGCCTCCTGCATGTAAATGTTCGTCCTCTCTCGGTCTTGAAACATCTCTTCCACGTATTCTCTCCATTTACCTATTTGATCTTCTATGTTCAGTAGCGGGTTCCCATGTTTATCTTCGATGAAAGACGTAGGAGTTTGTTTAAATATTCCAGCGGCTTCTTTTACTTTTTTATGTAGATTGAAAGTATCATGTCTTTGTTCCAACTGTTCAATTTCTTGGCATCTTTCACTTAGCCAGGTTTCTTTGGCTTGTTGGATCTTTATTCTGATATTCTTCGAATTCTTTGTTTTACAATTTCGTCTATTTGATGGGGCTTTTTCCTGTTGAAGTTCGTTGATAATGACGTTCGGTAATAGTTTCTTCCTTTATTATTTCAGTCTATAAATTGTTATTTCTTTAATTCCGGCCATCGTTAAATACCTAGAAAGTATACTCCGAACAGTAGTGGATCTTCATGTACAATAGCGTCTTGTACACTGAGGAACTGTCCATAAAAATGTGTTCGAAGTTCTGGTCACACTAATTAATGGTGTGTTTGAAGGTGCATTTCCAAAGTGCCTATTGAGAGCCATTAATTTTCATCTTCATAAGGGTGGTAAAAAATCTAATACCTGTAACTATAAGTTCGGCTTTTTATCTAATAAATTTACCAGTGATGCTATGTTTACACTGCTACTTTTTTTGTGACTATGTCAAAGCTTTTGATTGTGTAAATCACGATATTTTAATAAAAAACTAAATTTCTACTGAATTCGATGTATTTCTTTAAATTGGTTCCAATCTTATTTGGGGAATAGGAAACAACTGGTTAGAGCAAATGTTACTGACTCTTGTCACAAAAGCATTGGATGTGGAGTAGAGCAAGGTTCAGTATTGGGTCCTCTACTTTTCCTTTTCTTTAAATATCACTAATTTAAAAATCTATGGAAAATTTTTTCTTTTTGTTGATTATACCAGTATCACTGGATCAACTCTTATATTATAACTCTTTATGAAACTATAACTTCTTATTTATTTGTAATAAAAACCTGGACCGATTCTATTTATTTTTTTTTTAACGTGAATTAGTCAGTAGCATTATCCTATAAAGGAGCTCTTCATCATTTGCTTCTTAATAACAGCCAGATCAGTTTGGTTGATTCTGTAAAATTTCTTTTATTTTTTTTATTTTTATAGACAGCAACCCTAAATACACTCACCGGCAAAATTAACGGAACACCTTAAAATTTGGACATGTTAGATGTCTCGAATTTCCTAAACCTGTTGTCCGATTTTAGTGATTTTTTTAGTATGTTATAGGTATATTATTTAAGAATATCGATGTAATAATATTGTTGCTAGACAGGTCAATGTCATTTTATACCGGGTGTAATAAGCCTACTGTGTTTTTTCCTTAAAGTTCGGAACACCCTGTGGAATATTCTAGCATATATAAAATATTGAAATTAAAACTTAATTATAGCCTTAGGCTTTCTTAACATTTTCTTTTTTGATTCATTTGCTTATGTTTGATAATAAAAAAGTTAGGTACGTTAACAACTAGTCATGGTTTTCATCAATAAATCCTCATTTTCTGCTTAGTTTAAAAACAAGCCCAAAGTAGGCTATGAGAAGTTAACAATTTAATACACACACCGGCAAATTTAAAGGAACCTGTTATTAATGCAATATTTCTTTATATTTGTATTTTATAGACTATATCTACATAGCTTTGAAAGCTCCTTGTCACAAGAAAGTCTTAAATGTCAAAACGTCAAATTAATTTGTTTATTTGTATTTTGTTTTACATTTTACAGTCATTCTGTCTGTTCATAACAAGTACAAACTTGTATTTAATTGAGCGCACAGTAAGAAAGAGACTTAAAGAAGCCGGTCTCAAGTCATATGTGCCAATAAAAGCTCCCAGACTCCAGAGACACCATCGTTTAGCACGACTACAATTTGGTCAAGTACATCAAAATTGGAATGATAACCACTGGAGTCAAATTCTCTTTACGGAAGAGAGCCGTTTCTGTGTAAATTACATCGACGGTAGAGAAAGATTGAGAAGACCGTACCTTTTGGTGGAGGTTCAATTATGGTGTGGGGCGGTAAATGTTTGGGAGCAATAACAGAGTTAGTGGTGATTGATGATGGAGCATTAACAGCAGATAAGTACATCAGAGATATTCTCCAAGACCATGTGGTACCTTTTTCACCGTATATTCGCGAAAATTTTATTTTAATGCAGGATAATGCGAGCCCACACGACGCAGACTGTGTAAGATATTTCTTATTACAAGTGGGTGTAACAACGATGAATTGGCCAGCTTGTTCCCCAGACCTAAACCCGATATAGGATATGTGGGACATACTAGGCAGAAAACTTAGGGCACGGGTTCCTGCTATTCAAAACAGAGAAGAAGTCACAATTGCTTTGATTGAGGAATGGGAGAGACTGCCCAACAACTGATCGATAGCGTTATCAGAAGTATGAGAAGACGAATAACTGCAGTTGTAGGGCTCGTAGGGGAAACACACGCTATTAAAGCCAAAAAAATGCATAAAAAAACAATTTAAGTTCAAACTGTACAATAAAGTTAATGCGTTTAAAATCCGTATTTTGTTGAGTCTGACATCTTTGTGTTTTATTTCTTCTTAAACAGGTTTTATATTGTACTACCATTGTAATATAAATTCAAAATACTTCACCAACAATCGTATTATGATATTATCTAAACAGTATATAGACTAGAGAGAAAATACTCAGATTTTATGGTTGTTCCTTTAAATATGCTGGTGAAACTAAGAAGAAAATGAGCATTTATTGATGAAAAACATGGCTAGTTGTTAACGTACCTAACTTTTTTATTATCTAACACAAGCAAATGAATCAAAAAAGAAAATGTTAAGAAAGCCTGAGACTATAATTGAGCTTTAATTTCAATATTTTATATATGCTAGAATATTCCACAGGGTGTTTCGAACTTTAGGGAAAAAACACAGTATGATTGTTACACCCGGTATAAAATGACATTGACCTGTCTAGCAACAATATTATTTCATTGATATTCTTAAATAATATACCTGTAACATACTAAAAAAATCACTAAAATCGGACAACAGGTTTAGGAAATTCGAGTCATCTAACATGCCCCATTTTTAAGGTGTTCCGTTAATTTTGCCGGTGAGTGTAGTTCCTTTATATCGATTTTTTAAGTAAGAAACTAGCCTCAGTCTGCTATGCAATAAGATCTGTCTCGAAGAAAATCAATTTAGTATCTTCCAAAATAACATATTTATCTTTGTTAGAGTCTCATCTTTGATATGGTCTTCCTTATGTCTTCCTTATTGTGGTGATCCACAACGGATTGTCGAGTCACTTATGATGATGAATTAAACGAATACTGCTCAAAGAAACAATGTGAAGTCTTGGAACCGTAAAAACAAAATAAAAATATCCTAAACAGAAATGAGAGTTATTGCATGGGTTATTAGATCGCTGAACACAAGAGACCAATAAATAATCCGAGTGCTGAAAGAAAACAAACATATATGCTCTCTACAGGAAACAAAACAGAAAGGAAAAGGTTAATCAAATTTAGGTGAATATATACTAATCGACAATGAAGTAGCAAAAGAAAACAGGGCTAAACGTGTAGCCTTACCAATACACCAAAGATACAAAGGATTATTACAACAAAGATAAGAATGGAGAAGGAAGATCTGAGCATCTTCGGAGTATACGGCCCAGAAAATAACAAGCCTCAAGCAATAAGGGAAACATTTTATGACGAGTTACAACAAATAGTTGACCAAGTTAGAGGAAAGTTGATAATACTGGTGTTCACGCCTTTATCTAATTCAAGTTGATTTTATGCATTTTACAATCCGGCAACATAGTAGCGTAGGAAGATATATTATGCCATATGTGAAGATAAGGGGAGCCCCTAATAGCACTCCAAAGACGACAGCACTCAAATACTAGAAGTCGAGGCTGGTGGACACCAGCGAGCGAAACAATACTTATTAGCGTTATATTTATGTATTGTTAACTCAATAAAGTCAGTTTTTTCACACGGAGTTTGATTATTTACCAGCGGCACACGCGAAGTGCATATCAAGTCAATCTAACTGGGGGATTTTAACGCTTGAATAGGTAAACTTGTAATACCCCGAATTAAGCAAAAACATAACGGAAATGTTAAAAACGAAAATGGAGAAATGATGATAAGCTTCTGCATAATAAGGAATATTTTTACTGATAATATCCATACGAAAACATTGTTGAGAACGAAATAATGGAAAACAATAACATCGAGGAAAGCTGGACGTTTGTGTTAATGTTATTACACGAGTTCCCTTGATGTTGCTTTTTGTCGTTGTTAATATAAAATTAACAGTGCTGCATGCTTTGTTAAAGGCCTAAAGAAACAAAAATGTATGTCATTGGTAACTTTTAGGTTGATTGGTATTTGAAATCTTTGCTAAAAAATTTTAATGGTTTATAAAAACTTAAGTTACTTCTTTTTGATAATATTATATATCTAAATAGATTATGTCGGTACCTACATTAATGATTTATTAAAATTATTGGAAGTGTGCCTATGTTGGACCCCCTGCGTAAATTTGTGAAATAAAACTAAAATTTGGCGTTGCTGATCTAATAAAATTTTTTGGTAAGTAATATTTTACTGGTAATATATGTTAAGGTAAGTGTTGCTTTTGTGTTGTATAAAATGACTATACTTTCTTTGTCAAATACTATACTTTGTTTTAGGTTAGAATGGTCAAAACAAAAGTAACAGAATTAAATTTACTGTCTTGTCTATTTGCCCATGATGGACCCCTGTGTCGTTATCTATGACAGACTAGGGGTCAATCGTAGGAAAAAGGAAATAAGTTGCTACTTAACGATTAACATAATACATTTTACAGGAATGGATCCTCATAAAAGGCAACAATGGAATGAGAGTAGTCTGCAGCAAGCTTCAAAAGGCATACAAAAAAAACTATGGTGTTTAAGCTGACAGCAAAAACATTTAATGTTTCAAAAACGACTTTAATGGCGCAAGGCGCTTTAATAAGCAACACGGAAGTACCAAAGGTGATTTGGGAGGACGAAGACCAATATTTTCCACTACTATTGAAAATGAAATTGACCATATTATCACCATGGAAGCTCGTTTTTTGGCCTCACCAGTAAAAATTTACGAAAACTTGTATACGAAGTAGCTGAAAGAAACAATATTAGCCACAGTTTTAATAAGGAAACCAAGATGGCATCCTGGAAATGGGTCAGAGACTTTTTAAAGCGAAATCCTCGAATATGAGGAAATACGAAAGCATTACGAACTCCAGAAAATACTTCGTTGGCAAGGACTCAAGCTTTTAATAAACCAAATATATGTGCCTATTTTACAGCATTAGCACATATATTAGACGAGTTTCAATTTCCGGTTTGACAACTGTGCGATATAGGTCGCAGAAGATTTATGCTAGTAAAGGTCGCAAAGAAGTGTGCAATGAATGCAATTAGAACATATGTTCCTTCTCCTTTGATTTTTTCTCGACAGAGAAAGAAAGACTAACTTATGATCGATGCACCTACTGGAAGTGTAGCCTTCGCTCAAGAAAAAGGAGGAATGACTTCCGACATTTTCTGTCTCAGGCTGCAACATGTTTTAAGGTATTCAAAGGCTTCTAAAACCATCCAAGTTTTGTTGTTACTCGATGGTCATGGTAGTCATAAAAGTTTTGAAACTCTCCAGTTTGCAAAAGAAAACGGCATTATTATGTTTTGTTTTCCTGTTCACTGCTCTCGTGACGTTCAACCCTTGGACGTAGGATTTTTAGATCACTTCAAACTTACTACGGCCAAGAAATTCAAGTATGGCTGCGAGAATCCAGGTAAAACGGTTACCCAATTTATTCTACCCAGAAAAAAAAATTGAGTAGTACAATATAAAAAGATAATATAAAATTCAAACTTAAGTATCCTTACAAATTTTAAGCATTAAAATTATTATTAAGGATAGGATAGGGATAAAACATGGACACTCGTTTCTCGTCTAGGGACCCATCAAGACATTGCTTTTAAGACAAACTAGATTAGGTCACGGATAAAAGGTAATAACAAATGGGGTAAAACAGAGGTTAGGATTCTAATTACAGTTAAATATTGAGCTTACTTTTGCAAATAAAATCCATCAAACATTCATTTACAACTCTTATATTTAGAGATAGCAGATAGCACATATTGTACGGAGGAAAAATTTTGATGGTAACTAAATTTTTTATTAGATCTTCAGTTTAGATCCCCTTCTTTTTGACAGTCTGGACATAAATTTGAATTTACGATTTTTAGTTTGGACAGATGACTAGGATAGCAGGCGTGTCCAAATTTAATGTAGCCAATTTAATGTAGCCAGTATCTTTAATAGAGCATATCGTGGGCTTACTACAAAAATCCGTTAAGTCCGTAAATGTTTGTTTCGAGAAAATTAACTTTTAATGTTTACTGTCTCATTAAAACTAAACTATTAATTTCTTATGATTATTATGTGAAAAAAAAAGTTTGAAAGTTGATATATTTTGGCAATACATGTTTTGCCCACAATATTATTATTGTTTATATAGGATGCTAAAAAACAAAAAAAAAATGCAGGACTTAAATGATTTTGGCAGAATAAAAATAGCAAAAATGTATTCAATAGTTTAATCTTAAACTAATACAACAACAATTTTATAGCATGCATTAACAACAAATTCATTCAGTCTTCAATATCTTCATCACTGTTGGTTGAGGAAGGAACTTTGTCTACAGCTGATTTCGATGTTGGCAACGATTTGTACCAACCGTGAAATTCTTCTGGGATGTCTCCTTTACGACACAGTTGCAGCAGGCTATTTTTGTTCTTCCCTGTTATTGGAATTATTTTTGAATATAAATTTTGAAGGGTTATTTTTTCAAAAGAGTTTGGAGGAGTTTTACCAAATACTTGAATTACTTTGAACTCTGAAGTATGGCCATACCTATACTGAATTACTCCTGGTTTGGTTGTTTCATATTTTAGACACTTGATTTACTGTGCTTCCTTCTATAATTTTGTTCCTGTTTTTTATTAACTTTGTTGATAAATCTATAAGGTCTCTGAAATCTGAAAAATTGATCTGTCGAACATTATAGCCCGTACTTTTTTTGTTTTGGACACTTCTTGATCTTGCGATTCTAAAAATATTAAACCAATTCTGAATGGTATAAACTAGAACGTATTTCTTTGCCTTTTCTATAGCACTGTGCATGCTGTCCACCTCCATAAAGGTGTGGCAACTTTCAAGGAACTTGTGCTCTATGATTTCTAGGTTTGAAGTTTGGACCAAATATAAAAATAGTGCTGCAACATTTTGGTTGCGGTTTTGTCCGCCACAGGTATCAGAATACAAATAGAGCTGCTTTATTTCAGGTTTTATTAGGTTAATATAGTTAAGTAAGCAACTACCTATTTCTGAACTGCCTCTTTTTCCTTGTAAGTCTGTCCATCCATAGCAAAAGGCATCATTTGGTTCACGTAGCTCATAAATGAGGTAGTTAGTATATTTTGGTCACATTTAGTATTAACGTTTAGATAAGTGCTTTCACTAAACGGGTTTTACCAGTAGATAGTTTCTCTCCTTCTAATGCTCTCTATGAACAAACCCGAAAAATGACCAAACATGGACTTAACGGATTTTTGCAGTAAGCCCACGATATTTAAAAAGAGCTCTTCTATCAAATGCAATAAATGCATTTAAAAAGACAGGAATAGAACCGTTCAATCTAGATATCTTCGTGGATTGACAATGTTTGCCGCATATAACAACAGATAGAGAAAATTATGAACAAAACCCACTACCAGGATGTTCTGATGAGAACTTACTACCGGAACATCGGAACAAAATGTTCAGAAATCAACATCATCGTCAGTCGTAAACATCTCGGTCGAAGATATTAGTCCTCCTCCTTTAGCTGGAGTATCTGAAGTAACTCATAAAAGGGGTAGAAAACGGATTAAAACAGGATATTTAAATTTAACGCCAGAAATTGATGATATAAAACAAAAAATTGCAGAAAAAGAAGCAAAAGAAAGAACAGAAGACGCAAGAAAAGTGAAAAGGCAAGTTCGTGTTTCAACTACAAACAGTTCTAAAGACGATTGTGAATCTTCTTTTGAAGAAGATAACTCGGACGATGCAACTTGCATTTACTGTAACGAACTATTTTCGCATTCACGATCCAAATAAAAATGGATTCATTGACAAGTGTGTAAGAATTGGTGTCACAATAATGTGCAGATGTAAATCCTGGACGTAAACAATTTGTGTGTAATTGTGCGTGTATTTTTTTCTTAAAAATACCTATTTGTAATATTATTTATCGTTTAGAATATCTTTTGGTTTAATAAATCATGGGTCAATCCATTGGTCAACAACGGGTCCATCATGGGAGTATCAAAGGGTCCATCATGAGCGCATTATGCCCATGATGGACCCTTAACAGAATTTTAGTAAACTATGAATAACTTTTGTTATCTTAATTTTTATCAAAATTTGAAACATTTGCATATTATACAAATAACAAGACGTTATGTGGTCATATTTAAAGCCTCTTCTAAGTAAATAATTAAAATTATTATGGAGCTTTTTCCTAAGGGGTCCATCGTAGACACATTTCCCCTACTACAATCAAATTTCAAATAATTGTGAAACTGTGTTTCAAAACTGTGCTTTCAATAATTTTCATCATATTTAACATGCGTTTTTGGTGGAAGCCGTGTTATTTTTTAATACAGCATCCTAGCAACATGCAGGTAGCTACTACTAACATCCCTATTACCCCTTCGATTACCAACCCGCCATATTTAAACATTTAGCAAATTGATAAATTTTTTATTATCAGGTACGAGCTCGACGCAGGAACGTGCCGAAGATGGGGGAGAGGAGGACTTATGGGTCACATGGGGACACATAGTTAACGATTGGGAGAACAACTGGAAAAAACAGAACGCTCAAATACGGGAATTGGTCCGCAGAGGCATACCCCTACATTTTAGGGCCATCGCCTGGCAGTTGCTATGTAAAGCTACCGATTCGCCCGAGAAGAAGTTGTACGCGGAATACATCAAAGTAAGTCCATCTCTTACAAATTATTTATAATTATAAATTTTCTTGTATATTTGACTATTCAAAAGATTGGGCAACACCGTAGGTAGTAAGTTCGCTGTAGTTCGTAAATAGTTTTTCATTTTCATTATCAAATTCCTAACTGTCTAATTTAAGAGCAATTTTCCGGTGTGTCAGGCACTGATTAATTGCAAAGCAGATTGCATTTTATACATTTTCTAAGTAATTACTCATAGGACGAGACATTTTAAGTCAAGCCAAAGGAAAAATTGTGATTTGATTGTTCATTATAAGTAAAATTTAATTTTGTCGCAATCTGGAACGGTGCAAATGGTGTAACGCAATTTTAATGATTGAAATTTAAAAATCTGCAGACAAATACATTTTATTTACAGACGAAATCGCCATGCGAAAAAGTAATACGTCGTGATATAGCTAGGACATATCCCGAACACGAATTCTTTAAAGAAAAAGACGGCCTAGGCCAAGAATCGCTGTTCAATGTCATCAAAGCCTATTCTCTGCACGACAGAGAAGTCGGATATTGTCAAGGTTCCGGCTTCATTGTGGGATTGCTGCTCATGCAGGTGAGTCATTTATGTATTGGTTTTCTTATAGATTGTATCAGGACCGGTTCGTCTAGAGAGAAACAATAATACACTAGGCGGCATCTGTAGAAATTCAGACCATAATGGAAATTTTCGAGGGAAGCTATTTTTTTGCTGGAATCCCTTCAGGATATGCCCAGTATCGATAATCACGATATGCGCCAGTCGCAAACCCTGTGCTAAATTTTTTATTTAACAAAATCTGAAAACAATTGAAAATTTCTCATTTTTTTGCTCCTATTTTCATTTATAATTCGAAAAATATTGATCTTAGAGAAAAAATTATAAGTAGTTAAAAGTTTCGTTATTAAATTTTACACAATATTTTGTTAGCTAGAAATTGAAAATTTAATGGTTATTGTTGAAAAAATAGCAATAATTGGAAAAAAAAGTACAAAAAAATGAAGTTAATCCTTTAAATGTTTTCGACTTTCTAAACTTGACTTACAAGTTCCATATTCCGCCTAGAAAAACTTTTTAATATGTTTAAAACGTGTGCTAAATTTTGTTAAGATCGGTCGGATAGGTTTTGCATAATAATTTTGCAATCCAGCCTACTGGAAAAAAAATCGCAAATTTTCAAATTCATAGTAGGCCCTAAATAAGGCCCTCAGATAGTTGCAATTTTTTTTACATATAAAGGAAGTCTCACACTTTCAAACGCTTTTTGTAAAATTCAAATCGGTTTACTAGGAAAGCCTATAAATTTTTTTAAAGTTATAAACATTTTTTAGGCTTATAAACAAATTAAATAACTTTACGAGCTTTAAACATATCAATTTCAAAATGTATACACTTAAAGAACATTAAAAGACGCTTCTTTTAAGAAACAAAAAGATACATTCGGCTTACTAGTTGCCGAGATATTGAAGGTCAAAGTTGGTATACATTTGCCGTGTAACCATAAGTGATAGAGGGCTCGTTTTTAAACAAATACCCTCGTCTTGCCAAATACTTTTTATATGAAAAGTTTTACGTAATGCGCTTCATGGCAACATCCATAAAAAAGACAAATAAAAAACCGTTTTCGCGTAAAATGTCGCTCGGAATCCATGAGAGATGGTGGTGAGGGACATTCACTTCAAATGTGAATCAGCGAGTATCAAGTAGGGGACCATCACTTTGTTTAATTTCGGGTTTTGAAATATAAACAAAAGTAAAGTGCTCCAAAATCTGTAAGGGCTTGTAAAGTAAATTGTTACTTTTAGTAAACAAATATGTATTTATAAATTGTTAATAAATAATTTGAATTGTTAAAACGAAGGATTTTTTTTTTGTAAAAATCAAACATTTTAAAATAATTAACATTAAAAATAATTTATTTCTGCAGTTTTATCATAATAATGACATTATTTGATTTAAGAATATATTTTGATTCGAAAGTGACGTGTATATTGTATATTGAAGTGTTATTATACTGCTGTGTAATGCTCGAAATTGTTTTTTTTTTGAGCTTGCAATTTATACATTGAAGTAAATTTTTACTTTTAGTAAACAAATATGTATTTATAAATTGTTAATAAATAATTTAAATTGTTAAAACAAAGGCGAATGAAACAAAAATTTTCTTTTCATAAATAATCTTTATTTTGACTCAATCTTCAATAATTTTTTTTAAGTCTTTTTCTTTTTCTGGAAGGACAAGAATCTTCAGGTTTTATTTCTTCCTCAAAACCTTCATTTTCCATTTCAATATCTTCATCCTCGATCTGTAAATTTAATGTTTCTTCTCCTTCATCTGTAGCTATATCTTGTGCCTCCAAAAAATCTAAGGAATCCATCGACTCCATATCCATATCTCGTTCAACTTCTTCCAATATTTTATTGTGATCAATATTTTTACATGTTTGACCATTGCAGTGAAGACAATAGTCAGAACATTTGAGACCATGTTTGATACAACTGCATGTTTTTGTACAAAGTTTTTTACATTTGCAACTAATATTTCTGAATAATGAGTCAGGTAGTAATACTTGCTCAGTTTGTATTGGCTCAAGACCATTTTGAGTAGCATTCAGGTTATTTCCAAGCCACTGCTGTACTTGGAAATATACACGAAGCAAGTGTTGCTCAGCTGCAGATTGTGTAGGTGGCAGCATGGACAATTGAAAATTTTTATTTTTGCAACCTTTTTTAAAGCACAAGTAGCGAATTTTATTCAATGTAAAATCGCACTTTGAGTGGCTCATATACAATGCCGATATAATTTTGAATCCGCTGCGTTTAATTTCTTCCTTAGTTGTACTTTTTCATTAAAAATGGTTGCTTCTTGCCATATATAATTATTTGTTGAAACCAATTTAACAATTTTGCTTTTTCCTTGATAAAAAAATGCAGAGGTTGTATCACAACCAGAAAATGCGTGTAAAAAGCCCACTAAATTTTTTAACGAAGATTTCGTAGATTCACTTATTTTAAGTGCATTATTGAAAGAGTTGTAGTAATAAATTTCTTCCGAGTTTTTTCCTTTGCTAGGTTTCCAGAAAAAAATATTTTTATTTTCAGTTACTTTTTGTAAAAATATTACCAGAACATCAATATCCTCTGCAATTATAAAAACTGGCTTGTTATCTGAGGCTAATATATACTTGATACTCGCCGATTCACATTTGAAATGAATGTCCCTCATCACCACCTCTCATGCATTCCGAGCGACATATTACGCGAAAACGGTTTTTTATTTGTCTTTTTATGGATATTGCCATAAAGCGCATTACGTAAAACTTTTCATATAAAAAGTATTTGACAAGACGAGGGTATTTGTTTAAAAACGAGCCCTCTATCACTTATGGTTACACGGCAAATGTATGCCAACTTTGACCTTCAATATCTCGGCAACCAGTAAGCTGAATGTATCTTTTTGTTTTTTAAAAGAAGCGTCTTTTAATGTTCTTTAAGTGTATACATTTTGAAATTGATATGTTTAAAGCTCGTAAAGTTATTTAATTTGTTTATAAGCCTAAAAAATGTTTATAACTTAAAAAAAATTTATAGGCTTTCCTAGTAAACCGATTTGAATTTTACAAAAAGCGTTTGAAAGTGTGAGACTTCCTTTATATGTAAAAAAAAAATTGCAACTATCTGGGGGCCTTATTTAGGGCCTACTATGAATTTGAAAATTTGCGATTTTTTTCCAGTAGGCTGGATTGCAAAATTATTATGCAAAACCTATCCGACCGATCTTAACAAAATTTAGCACACGTTTTAAACATATTAAAAAGTTTTTCTAGGCGGAATATGGAACTAGTAAGTCAAGTTTAGAAAGTCGAAAACATTTAAAGGATTAACTTCATTTTTTTGTACTTTTTTTTCCAATTATTGCTATTTTTTCAACAATAACCATTAAATTTTCAATTTCTAGCTAACAAAATATTGTGTAAAATTTAATAACGAAACTTTTAACCATTTATAATTTTTCTCTAAGATCAATATTTTTCGAATTATAAATGAAAATAGGAGCAAAAAAATGAGAAATTTTCAATTGTTTTCAGATTTTGTTAAATAAAAAATTTAGCACAGGGTTTGCGACTGGCGCATATCGTGATTATCGATACTGGACATATCCTGAAGGGATTCCAGCAAAAAAATAGCTTCCCTCGAAAATTTCCAATCCAAAACAGATCCCGCCTAGATTATAATTAAAACATTACTTCAATACTTTTTGATGTGATTGAACTTATAGGGACATACATTATTCAGTACTTTTTTATATGTATCTGTTTTTATAGAAGTATAAATATAAGTCTTATTAATATTTCTGCTCCACACTCTCGAGGTTTTTCTTTTCTTATGCGGAATATGTCCGATCACACTCGAAGTTTTTCTAAACACGTGTTTCACGGTAATAACACTTTGCGAGATAGAGCACACTTTGTCTGAACACGATTTAAAACAGTATTTGCGGTAATTTTTCGCGTAACTAAAACGAGAGAGAGAGATAATTAGCGATAGAAAAACAGCCAAGATAGATGCTGTTCTTCTTGATAAGCGAAGAGAGAGAGACAGAATGACTGTCTTTAGCGGTAGCCGAGAATCCAAAAAGGCACGACTCACCTTGGCGGTAGTCAGATCAAGAGAGAGCGTTTCTTGCTTGCTATCTTAAAATATAATAATTAAAGGACTAAGATAATAATTGTAAAATTGTGATAAAAGGATAATTATTAATAGAGCGAAAAAAAACATAATTTTTCGCATATGAAAAAATTGTACACATTTTGATTATTTGTTGATTAAAATTTCCTATTGTTCTATATTGAGCTAATGTTTAAGTTATCTATCATTTCATAACCTTGTCTACTACTAATAATAAGAGAAAATTAAATTGTTGCAAAATATATGTTTATTTTAAACTGTTTAAATAAATTACTCGGTTAAATAAACAATTCACAAATTAACTAATTGAATTTTTATAATCTATGGAACGAGGTACCCCAAATTAAAAAACAACATCAATTTCCGTGGATTAGAACAGGAGATATTGCGACTTTCATATATTTGAATTTATGAATTAAGTTTTTGAAATAGTAAAATTATTTCGCTTTATTCCTTTACGGTTGGCGCATCATGGACTCATGGCTTATTTTAAAGGAATCGTTATTAATTTTTTTAAATAACTTTACATACCCTCATTTTAAAGGATTCTCTTTACTTTTTCGGTAAAATTGTATCACTTTTCCATATAATTTACAGGTCTTCGCCTTTAGAATTTAAAATCAAATATGAATTAATACCATAATTGCCCACAATTGACTATATTGTCCCAGATTTCCCACCTCTTGATGTTCACTCTACAATTATTAATGCTGGACTATCTGATCATGAAGCAGTACATACAAAGTTTAACACTCTTAGCAAACTCTGCTCGAAAAGCCCGATACTTGGGTAGGATTTTTTCTTTTTTCTGTGGACATGGATATACTTTCAGTGATTTTTTAAATAATCTTGTCTGTATTTTTAGTAAAGTATTTATTTTAATTACA